CATTAAAACTACAAACACAAATAGTTGCATATTGCGTTTGTGTATTCCTTTTGTGTTTGTACACAGTAAACAAACAGTAAACAAGCGTCGGCTCTGCTCGCGCACATAGGCAAGTGTCGGATGTGTAACGGTATAACAAAGCAAAATATATAAAAAAGCAGCTGGATAGTCGGGCGGGTCACAGTGGGCCCCTTATATATTATATTGTATATGCTTGCATAGTAAATCTATGTGTATATATTATGTACATATTGTTATTTATGTATGTTTGTGTTTTTATACAAAAAAAAAAATCACTTACCTACGCTTTAGCTATAACAACAATCAAATCAGCAATTGCGATACGCCCAGCGATTCAGCAATGCTATTAGAGTGGACCTGCAAGTTTTAAGAATAGAAAGTTAAGAAAATTCATTCAAGTTCAATTATCATATAGAATGTGTTTTCCATAATAAGTATACTTAATAGGCAAATGTAAAGCCAATTACGATAAATTAAGGTGTTAAGTAACGTAAAATGTATGTATGTATGTACATACATACATACATATATTAAACGACATTATTTATGCATATTTAAAAAGCATGTACTTATATATTTAAGGAAACCATTTGAAACATTTTATTTTTAATCGTTTAAAAATTATGTATGTATATAAAAAATAATACTAATAAGTAATAAAGTGTTACTAATATCAATAGAATAATACAGTAGGAAAAAAATATTACAGATTTAAATTTATGTAATATGTGGCTCACTCTAAGCATTCACAGTTTATAAAGTCTTCCATATGACACATATACATACATGAGCATGTATTAATTTTTATTGGGCGTATACATGTTTATGTACTCTATATTCTAAAACGGAACTGAAAAACAGTTTACCCCACCTACCAACAATAAAAACACTTTTCAATTGCTCACACATCAAATCAAACACATTCACTACATACACACACCCGTATACATATGTATGTATGAATTTGTAAATACAAAAAGAACTAGATATGGACACACTCTCATCCCAAGTGCCATTTGTATAATATTCACTATAACGGAGCCGATATGCATGCTATCGCTTACCCCAACCACTCTTCGTTTGGCTGAACGCATTGTCGTATGTGTAAGTAATATGTGTTGTATATATTTACACGCACGATTCGTGACGCTAATGTATTGTCAGAGGTAATGGGTCGGCGGGGGTGGGGGCGGTACACATATGCATGTCTGTGACTTTTGTAGATTTGTTTGTGTACATATAGATATAGCAAAATAACCAGGCGCACAGCATTGATTAGCAAGCAACCAAAGCCAAAGCAAAAAGTTCATGCGAGCGAAGTGAATGAGTGAGTGAGTGAGTAGCCAGCCAGGCAACAATAACAACAGCAACAAGTACACACAACAATAAAGAGACACATATTCATACACAACAACAACAACCACACAAACGGCAGCACACAAAACGATACACACACAAAACTACTAAAAGAGACAGAGAGATGAGGCCGACGGACACCCGAGACGGCGTCGACGACGACGTCGACAGATAAACAACATTTATATTCATGTACCCCGACAGTAACAAGAACAACAACAACGCAAGAAGTGTGGCGTACACAAACGCACACAAACATAAAAGAAGGAAAACAACAACAGCAACAAAAAAGCGAAAATCAAATAACATATGTATGTACATATTGACAAACAAGTGAACACATGTATGCGCATATAAGCATACATACGAGAATGTGAGTATGTGTATACATGCATTGCACTGGCACGATTCATCCACCGCACTTGGCGCTCTGCTCTCTTCGCTCTCCCCGTCAACCTTCGCAACTCATTCAAACTCATTTCATACGCTCATGAGAACAGCGACGCCAACGTCGCAGTAGCATATCGGCAGCAGCAGCAGCAGCAGCGCCAGTCTCAGCAGCAGCAGAGTTGTTACGTGGGTCGCAGCGGTAAATGGAGAGGGAAACGAGCATATAGACGATAACAACATATTCCTACATACTTACCTACTTATATTATTAGCTGTCGCTGCTCTCTTAGTTGTGCTCTCTCTCGGCACGCTCGCTCGCTTGGCCACATAAATGGCAATTACAATAAACAACCGGTATTAAAAACTGTTTTAAATCCCCCCAATCATTAACACAGGAACGACGCAAGCTAAGCAAAACTACAACCATCAAAATTGTCAAAATCGTTGAGCTTGACCAGGAAAAACAAGACTATGCCAAAAATCGTCTTTTAGGTGGTATTGTACTATATATCTTACATGTCTAAACATTTGCTGCTTATCATGATTTATTATACGTATTTATTTAACCAAAATAATTTTAAAGATTTATTAGCTATGCCAACTCATTTTGGTGAGTTTTGCTGGGTGTGCACCACAATGAGCAAGTGCGAGCAAGAGCACGAGAATTCGGTGCAAAGTAATAAATGAGTCAAAAGCGAATATGCAATTGAATAGGCAGCAGCTGATAAGGTCGATCCCCCTACATTACATTGCGACACATAACTGTGACGTCACATTTAACACGTACGACTAATATTTTAATCGTTTGAGGTCAGTGTTTTTCATAGAGCTTATCAGTTTTCCGGCCGACAGATATTGAGCACAATTTATTTTTCCTTTGACTAACGAGCAGTGGAAAATTCTCAATGCTCGAGCTTTGATTGATGTCAATGGTTGATAACTTTTTGACACATCATGAACAGTTGACCTATGCGTTAAGCTGATGATTGTTCTAAATACATATGTACATATATAATTTAATATATTATAATTTTTATATATAAAATTTGAAAATGGTATTACGAGATATATGTACATGTATTTATATAATTTATTATATATTTTTAATATATTAACATAAAATTTTTATTTTTTTTTATTATTTTCAAAAGGTGCGTGGCACTAACATGCCTGACCGCCACTGTATGGAAGAAAAAGTCTGGTTTAGTAAATCTTTATTTTACTATTATTATTTGATTTTTTAGTAATTGGTAATTATTTGATATAATTAGTAATTAATTAATCACATGGTATACTTTAAATTCATGTGCTAATATTTATTTATCAAAATACCTATACTAATTTTTCTGACCGCGTCTGTTGACGTTAAGTCTGCACGTTTGTCTGACCGCCAGTGTAGAGAAATAACTTGTAAAGAGCCGATAATCGCTTAAATTAAGTTGTCGTTGTTGTTGTTAGTAAGAGTGACGTTTACATCAACAACGAAGTCAAGTCCAAAGACGCTCACGGCTATTGCGACGTCATCAAATAAGATGAGACTCAACCTGAGAGTCCCACAGCAATAATAAACATAAGCATAGAACACACGCACGCACGCATGCATACACATGTATGTACACACATATGTGCATACATAAATACATATGTAAGTATATACATATGGATGTACATATATCTTGAAATGTTGTCGCTCCTCACGTGTTTAGCTGTTGTTGCCCATTACGTTTCGTTTTCATGCCATTTCTGGTTTTGTCTTGCTCATTACAAGCGTACATATTTATATATATGTATGTATACATATATGTGTCTCGGTGTATATGTGCATTAACATATACCGGCACATATGCATGATACATATGTACATCCATACAAACATAAACACAATTTGAGAACGTTGACGGCGACGGCAACGTCGCTGTTACCGTTTTAGCTGCGCGCAGCAAAAGCTACTTCTACTCGCACTACATATGTACATACCAACAACAGCAACAACATTAAATATACATTTTGCCTACATGTGTCTACGTGCGCCTGCTAATCATTTCTGTGCGCCTGCTTTGTGCTCATGTTTATTTGTATATATCGAGCAACACAAACGCACAAAACACATATGCAAAAATGAAATAAAATAAAGCCCGCTACATACACTTGAGCATACATATATTTATGCAGTTAGATAGTATGTAGAAATGTTGTGAGCTACAACAAAAACACGCTGAGTAAGCGCTCAATTACAAATGTGACTGCGAGTGTGTATACTTACATACTTTCTATACGCTGTTTTCGTCGTCGTTGCTGTTGTTTTTGTTGTTGTCTGTTGAGCCGAGACTCGGCTTGCTTAGTGATTATACACACACGCGGACAGATATACTCGCGACGTAACGGTAGCGTATGGCTGCTTTACGTTAAAGCAGTGCTCGCTTTGACTATGTATTCACAGAACCGCTCCGATTTCCACTCACAACGCAACACGTAAGGTTGAGTTAGATTGCAATGCTCACTGACGCTTGATTCCGTGACTGCTTTCCCGGCTTAAGCCATTTTACATTTATATATGTATGTACATATGTATGTATTTACAAACGTGCATACACTTACTCCGCCCACGCGTAACGATAAAATTGATTTGATTTTAATTTCCACTCAATTTGTTTACGTTATTTGACGCAGCACTGCTTGGACGAATCGTATGCCTATGTATGTACATATGTATGTACGAATGTATGTACACGTAGAAGACATGTACATATCAAAATGTTACAATCACGAAGTAACAGTAAATTTGAGTAAACTCATAGCAGGACGAACATCAAAGATTATTTTAATAGACTCCGACTCACTCAATAGCTCACTCTCCGACTTACACAATAAGGCTATGACTAGCACACATATACATACATATGTACATATTAACATATATCTCTTTACGTGATGTAACGATATACATATGTATTTGAGTAACATTTCGAGTTTTCGTTAAGTGTGACTCCGCTCCCACTCCATTTCGACTGCTCGCGAATCGTGATTTTCGCGAATTGCCGAAATCTTATTGCACTCTTTATCGCCTCACCCTGCTTATTAGCATCACTGTTAAAAAGCAATGCGTAACATAATGAGCGCTGTTAAGAATTTTGCTAAATTTGCTGTTAAACCTTCAAAAGATTATTTGCTTATAGGATTATATAGTAAACTTTAATAATTAAAAAATAAAATAAATTAAAAAACAAAAAATATAAATGAATTATTGTACAATCTTTTATTTGTCTTATTTGTAGAATTTTCTCATTGAATTTAATTTTTGTCAAATTAAAAATCCATTCAATTCCGGGAATTGAAATTCTTGTATCCTTATGCAAAATATGCTGCACGACCTGTGCGGACAGGTGCGTTAACTTGATTGCGCATCGCATACAAACTGACAATAATAATAATGGTTAGTATAATGCTAACAAATAGGAGTAGGCCTATGATGAGAGTGGTATTATGAAGTGCTCCTTTTACAATAAGCTCATCGTTATCTACAGTTGTCGTATCACTACTCAATACATGATGCGATTGCTTTTGCATATGGATATTACCAACGTTTATGCTTGGCTTAGACAATTCTTTTCTATATTCCCGATCGCTTGGATCTATTGGATCTACGAGATGTTTCATCATTGAATTTTGGGATGAACTATTGTAATTGCTGTTATTCATCGAATTGTAATGCTCTTTCTCATATATCGACTCATTATAGTCTATGAGATTTGTTTGATTTAGTTCTTGATTTCGTTCTTCTAGAATTGCATCAGCTATCCATTGATAATCTTTATCCAGAGCAGTTAGATTTGCTTCGGTTGCATTTTCTAGATGTGTTTGATTTGTAGGAATTGTCGGATATATTCTTTCTAAGTCTAACAACAGCGGTCTTTCAGTTACCAATGTTCGCTCGATTGATTTTGCTTTTGTTCCGTCGTGGTTGTGCTGTTCTATATCATCTGTGCTGAAAAATGGATTGTATTGATTCAGAGAAGTCATCCACGAAGTCGCAGTCGTAGACAATGGATCCGCCTGATAAATCATAGCTGTTTTATCAGTCCCATCAATAGCATCATCTACAGATCCAATTTCAATTCTCTGATCCTTTGGATGGAGCTGATTTGTCGTATTTCGATCGGTCTGAATTGTGTGATATATTCGAAAGATTTTATGATTTATCGGATCTATTTGTGGTATATTGTGATCTTTAAGATCAGCATCAGTTGAGATATCATTTTCATGATCCCGATTTTTTCGATCTTGCTTATGTACCTGTTTTATATTTACTATTTGATTGACAGACGATTCTTCATCTAAGCGCTCAGTCAGAAGTCCTGGATGAGTCTTGACTGTCTGATCACTGCACACATATTGCTGTGGCAGTTTCTGTGCTGGATCTTGGCAAATCAGCCGCTGGCTGTGACTATTGCAGACGCACCGATCCAGGTGCAGACAAGGCTCCGTCTGATTCTGGCGACAAGTGGGAACGGTGTTGGGTGTACGACCACTCAATAGATGGCTCCAACTGAAGTACTTTTGCCAGCGAGTGCTCCGACAACGTGACTCACACTGCTCGGCAGGCTGGAGTAGATGCGGCACCGGCTGGCAGCTCAGCGACTTGCGACTCATCGCGAAGCCGGGCCAACAGCGACAGCGGCCAGGCGAAATGCAATCGCCATTGCGACAGGCGTGGCATTTCGGCTGGCAGCCGGCGTTGCTGAACTCCTGCTCGCTCAGAATTTCGTAGCCCAAGTCGCAGGTGCATTGCTGTGGAGCGGTGCACTGGGCGTGCACGCACCGGGGATTGCAGCGGGGTCGACATCCGCCCGGCGTACCCTCATAGCCCTTGCAGCAAACCTCACGCAGACTCCAGCTCTACCGGAAGAATTTTCAATTCAGGTGAAACCTTTTCCACTTCATACACACCTACCACCTCTCCATTCGTTCTGTTTGCTCTCTGGGGCACTCGCTCGTGGCACACGGTTCCCTTCTGTGCTCCCAGCCAAGGGAGGAAGACGAGACTCAGGACTAGGGCCAGCCATGATCGACTCATGGATTCCAATTCCGGCTACAAAAATTATGGGTTTCTAACTTGAAATTTATAAGCAAAATTTGCCGCGATCTTAACTTAAGATTAGCCATTGCCAAAATGTTATTTAGTTTTTCTTTTCGGGAGATTTTATTTTATATTTTGTTATTCTACTTAGTAAAACAAATGCCAGAGACATATTTCGCAAAGATTTATTAGATATTTAGAACTGAATTTGAAATAAATTAAATTTAAATTTTTTGTAAGTCTCTATGATGCTAAAAACGGCAAAAAGTCTGACTTAGTTGGTCAGAAACGAGTAATTAGAACCTGGGAAATGCTTTCTACATTCATGAAGATTCATGGCTTGACTATTTGTAGTCTGCATTTCCTCCGTAATAGTCAAATCCGAGTTATTTTTTTTTTTACAAATAGTTTCAATAGGCAGATTACTTTAACCAAACTTAAGATGGGTGTAATATATGTTTATATATTATACATCTGCATCACATACAGAGGTGGTCAAAAGTAATTACACACCGAGCTTTTTTCTGCATGCTCAGCTTTAAAAGCTTGTTGTTGTTGTTGTTGTTCGCTGTTTTTGAAAAAAAGCTTTTGTGTCATAAAGCTTATTCTGTGTAGAAGCGATCGGCAAAAAGAAATTGCTAAAATAACGGTACAGGTTCGTAGATATAGCAAAAAGAACAGTTACCTAGAGGTTGTCAAAAGTATTTACACACATTTTTTTGCGTCATAAAAATTTACACAAAATTTAAACATTTTTTAATGGCATTAATTAATGTTATTTATTTTTAATTTTTGTTGAACATAATAAAGGGTTTATTTATTTAATTTAGTATTTTGTCATTCCCCCTTTTTCGTCAATTACAGCCTGAAGCCTGGCTGGAATTGATGTTACCAATGATCGGGCGAAGTCAACTGTGAGCTCCGACCATATTCCGGTAACTTCCTGAATGGTATCATCCCGTTTCCGGTCCTTTTTGAATAGCCGTTTGGATTTTATTAAAGCCCAAACATTTTCAATAATGTTAAGGTCCGGACTTTGCGCAGGCCAGGGCAGGATTGCTTGATCTAAGTCCGCCAAAAACTTGGTGGGTATTGAGCCTTTGTGGCATGGAGCATTGTCTTGCTGCAATACCCATTCGATTGTTGGAAATAGTTTGTTCGCCGAAGTAAAAGCATTGTCATTTAATATGTGCAAATATCGTGATTGGGTCAGAGTGCCCTCTATTGGCACAAAATCTCCAAAACCATAGTACGACATGCAACCCCAAAACATTACTGTGCCACCTCCAAACCTGCTAAGAGGCTGCACTGCAGTTTTTTTATTTTGTCGACTTAAATGCATAAAAGTCTTTCGAAATGAGCCTTGAAACTGAAATGCAACCTCATCTGTCCACAAAATGTTGTACCAAAACTCCAAAGGCTTTTCAATGTACTCTAAAGCAAAAGCAAGACGTTTTGCTTTGTTTGCTTCCGAGATATCAATGATTTTTCGGACGACATAGGTGTTTATGTCAACATCCTTTAACCTTCTACGAATAGTAGCATCACTGACATGTTTACCAATTATCTGTTGTGATGCTGCAGACACTTTAACTGGGCTTATCTCGGGGTTTTCTACGAATGTGCTGACAAGTCTTCTGCATTCCCTGGTGTTCAATGCTGGCTTTCGCCCACTTCGGTGTAAATTATTCAAATTTCCAAGTGTATCCCTTTTGTTAACCAAGTTATACACCGTTTTTTAGATATTTTGAATATCTTTACCAACTCCGATGCCCCAACACCACTCTTAAACTTGGTTACGATCTCGGATCTTGTTTCGACTGATAGTTCCTTTGTTTTTACCATTTTACAGCACATCTACAATTTCAACTACAAATTGAATTCCGATCTTAGTCAAAGACCGCACATGATCAACGCAAATCAAAGACTAAAGGCAAATTTACATTGTGTAAATACTTATGACGCAAAAAAAATGTGTGTAAATACTTTTGACAACCTCTAGGTAACTGTTCTTTTTGCTATATCTACGAACCTGTACCGTTATTTTAGCAATTTCTTTTTGCCGATCGCTTCTACACAGAATAAGCTTTATGACACAAAAGCTTTTTTTCAAAAACAGCGAACAACAACAACAACAACAAGCTTTTAAAGCTGAGCATGCAGAAAAAAGCTCGGTGTGTAATTACTTTTGACCACCTCTGTATATATGCGGACAGATGGACGGACAAAATGCCAATACAGTCATTTTACTTTCATTTTTCGGCATTAATCGTACGACTTTATTGGATAACGGATATGGATATAATTATTAACTCCAGACATTTATCGCTCATTGAGAAGATCAAGTCTGACTCTCCTTATCGAACATATGCATATACTGTATATTAATATATACGTATACCCGACATGCCAGACGTACTTCCATTTTCCATTCCGGCGATAAGGTCGTGCAAAACAGCCAGAGTCTGAGTGGGAGTCAGTGTGAGATTCAGAGTTATCGTGGCCGACACAAAGAGCTCGACTTTCCCCTTCTCAGCTAGGGTCGTCGGCATTTAGTGCCTTTCGAGACGTGAACAGAAGTGGAAGCTTGGAGCTATCTGGGAGGATGTTGCCGTTGGTGCTATTGCTCCTCCTCGGCCAGAGCCAGGCGCTGGCCATTACGAGCGGGCACTGCCAGAAGAACATTAGTGTCAAGTACCAGGTGCCATTGACCAGAACACGGCTCGTAAACAATGCCAGCGAACAATATATTGTTTACGAGGAGCGTGTACGCTGGGATACGGTGCGCATGTGTTGTCCCGGCTATCGCACGATTATCTTTGGCTTCTGTGAGCCGATCTGCACGGAGGCGTGCCCCGCCCACAGCTACTGTGTGGAGCCGAATAAGTGCCACTGCATGCGCGGCTACGAGCACTCGCATCATCCCAATAAACAGCATCAGCTGATCTGCCGCCCGATCTGCCAGGGCGGCTGTCCGGAGCACAGCCATTGCATTGGCCACAACGAGTGCGAGTGCCGGCCCGGCTTCAAGGACGTCAGCAGCTGGTTCAGCATGAGTCTCAGCTGCGAGCGCATCCAGTGCGGGCACGATCAGCGCTACGATCTGCAGCGTCGCGCCTGCATCAAGATCGAAATGAGCATGGAGGAGCTGATGCAGCGGGTGGCCGAGCGACTGGCCAAGGGCCTGGAGCACGACGAGGGAGAGCCAACCACTGAGGAGCCACTGGAGGAGAGCAAAGATTGACCTAGGCCCAAGACCTAGTCCTATAAGTTCTAATATGTAATGCTAAGTGTGAAAATCAATATGGAAATAAAATGGCAATTGAAGAGAGAAATGGGAGGAAAATCTTGTGTGAGTGAAGGCTGAGGGCTATGAATATATCTCGCTTGGAAATAAACTAAAAAAAGAGAGGGGCAGCGAGAGAACGGGAGAGAGGGATAGCTAAAGCGCTGATAACTGCTGCAAAGTTATTTCTCTCCAGAATAATCAGTCTTCTGGTATTTTTCCTATGGTAATCAAGTCGTCTGCCTAGGAATTATGGAACGAAATGAGAAACTAAAGTCAGCCTAAGACCCTTTATTATTATGCTTTATTATTTTTATGTTTTTCTTTACAGTGAGATAATAGCAATTCAGTCAACTTATCGGGAGTGGAAATGGATGAGCTGGTGAAAATATGCAGGAAGGCATCTCTCAGGACTAGCACTACATTTAGGAATTCTCAAGCTTGATTTTAATTTCAAATTTAAAATTAACGTAATTTAAAATTAACTGTAAATTTACAAGCAAATATTTTTTGTATATATATTTTTTTTATTGTAATTCAAACAATAGGATCGTATGTATCATTTCCTTAGCGCTCGTGTGTTTCAGTAAATAAAACAAATTAACATACTATTTCAAAAACTTATAGGCTAGATATCAATATAGTTTTGATGGAAAAAGTTTAGTCGTTCATCATTAACATCAATCGTTATCATCAGTATCATCACTATCATCATCAATCAATATCATCATTATCAACATTATCAACATTTTTAACATCATTATCAACATCGCACTCATATCAATTGAGTGGCGGGTGGGTTAGGATTTTTTATCTACAAAAATTTCTCTCTATATATAGATATAGATATTATAGTACAAATAGTTAATGTTAAGCTCTGGCAATGGCTTGTAAGTCCGTTTAAATTCATTTCATATCTAATTTTTGTGTTTTAAAGCTCTAATTGCATAGCTCTCATAGGTTGATAAATAATTTCATTTCCTTTCTTTTCTTTTGATTTGATTTTCGGGTTGGTTTTGTTTTAAGTTTGATTTGGTTTCACAGCCAAACGTAGAATCGTTGCTTAGGCATATAGGGTCTCGATGAGATCCGCGTACATTTTGTTAACCACATTGCGCTTGACCTTCAGAGTGGGTCCCAGCTCGCCGGTGGCTATCGAGAAATCGTGCGGCAGTATGGCGAATTTCTGCACCTTCTGGGCATTCGAGATGGATTGTTTGTTGGCGCGCTTGATGCCATCCTCGATGGACTTCAGGACTTTGGGGCAAGGACCGGCTGCCAGAATTTCACTGAGTTTCGTGTACTCAACGCCCAGCGACTTCATCCAGACAATCGCTTCGTGCGTCAGATCATCCGTGGGTGCGCCAGTCTCGCGCTCCACCTCGGTCTGCCGAAAAGAGAAAGAATACGAATATAGATTTGCAGATAGAGGGATTATCTTCGTACTTACCTTAATGGACACCAGTACAGTTAAATATTTGCGCTGCTCACCCACCAGGAAGGCATTGGAGATGCCATCCAATTCCTTCTTGATGATGTTCTCAATGTGCACGGGTGGAATATTCTCGCCGCCGGCTGTGATGATCAGCTCCTTGGAGCGGCCAGTCAGCATCACATAGCCCTTGTCGTCGATGTAGCCCAAGTCGCCCGTGTGCAGCCAGCAATCGTCGTCCAGGGACTCCTCCGTCTTCTCCTTGTTGGCAATGTAGCCCATGAACACATGGCGTCCACGTATGCACAGCTCACCGTGGCCATTCTCATCCTGATTGATGATCTTCGATTCGCAGCCCGGCAACGATTTGCCAATCGAGTTCAAGAGCGTCGAGTCCGGCAGGCAGAGCGTGTGACAGCCGCCCGTTTCGGACATGCCAAAGGCATCCAATATCTTCATGTCCAGACTGAGGAAGTATTTCTTGGTCTCTGGGGACATGGGCGCCGCAGCGGTCACCAGGCTGATCACACGATCGAAGCCCAGCGCAGCCTTCACCTTGGACAGGATGAGTGACCTGGCAATTTTGTAGCTCAAGCTTCCGCTGCTCTTGCTGCAAGGGACACAAATTGTTGATAAAAGTTTTTTAATTGGAATTTTTGATGAGTTGGCCAAGTTGGGATAATTACATGGGTCAAGGATTATGGTGCGAGGAGAAACTTTGTGACTGTGCCTGTGTGGGGAAAGCTAATGGGCTACTGCAGCAGCAGCTAATGCACTTGGCGACAGGCCAACTTAATTGGCAAGTCACAAAAAAAGCAAGTCCTAGAGAAGTTCCTCTTGGCCTGAAGTGAAGGCGATGAGGAGGAATTGCTGGCGGAAGATGATGCATTTATAATAAATGGAAAGCTGTTGCAGCTGTTCAATTTTGAATCTTGAAAATATGAAGTGTGATTTGGAGAGGTATTTCTAGCATTTAGATCAATGGCAATGGAATTCCTAGTATACGAAAAATATCTGATTGAAGAGGAAGTTCCAGTATAAGATGAAAGATACAAGAGGAAGAGTTTCTAAGTCGGTTGCTAGTAGTTGAAAAATTATTGATAGATGATTCAGAGCACAAGTGAATCTTAGCATAATGAATCTTTGACCTTTCAAAAAGAAATTTCAGGACTTCGGCTTCTAATTTCAAAGCAAAATAAAAGCGAAGCTAAAATTGTCTGCAGCAACCAGGCGAGCATGTTTTAAAGCTGCTAATCGCTGACAAAGCCAGAGCATGTCACGTTATTTCGCAGACAAAGGACGTACACGCATGCAGGAGGCGAGTTGCCTGTCGCAGCGGCAACAGCTTCAGTTGCTTCGTGTACAGCGTGGCGTATGAGTAATGTTGTGTTTGCTGTGATTTTGGCCGTTGCCTGCGGACCGACGCTGGCTGCTTGCATAATTTAACAAACGAACTGAGTCGAATGCCTGGCAGGGATTGCCAGCAGCCAGAGTCGACTCAAGTCGAGTCAAGTCGAGTCGAGTCTAGGCAGCAGCCACTTTAACTGTGCATTCATTTTGCATAATTTATGCGCACACGGGGCACAGGTTGAAAGTTGGCCGTGAGCTGGTAAATTGGTGAAACTTACCCCTGATTCTCCATATAATGTTTTAGCGAAACGCCCTTGGCCCAGCCGGCGAGCATTCGCTTAAAGCTGCCGCTGGAGCTGGCGACCGCAACCATGCGCTCCTGGAACTTCTCATAGACACGCGGCACGCCCATAAACCGTGTCGGATGCGCATCCTGCAGCGTCTTGACCAGCGTTCCCTTCAGCGCATCCTTATCGGCAAACCAAATGCAACCGCCGAACGAGGCGATCGCATAAATATCGACAACCTGCGCCGCCACATGGGACAACGGTAAATAGGAGACCATACACTCCGCACCCAGGACGATTTTCTCCAGGCCCTTGCCAATGCCGCGCGTATCGTATGAAATATTATCGTGGGACAGCATCACGCCCTTGGGCATGCCCACCGTGCCGGAGGTATAGACCAGACAGCAACACTCATTGATCGCAATGTTCTCCAGACGACGTTTGTACTCATCCTCCACGTCTTCCACATTCATCGCCTCAATCTCGGACCACTAAAAACAGAGGATTCACGTATGAAAATATCTTTATGTTTAAATAAATATATAAAAAATACATACAAAATAATACTAATTATATTAATGAGTAAATATGTTATGTTTAATGAATGAAATGAATTAAATATGTATATGTATGTATATATGTATATATATATATATATATATATATATATATATATATGTATTTTATATATTTCAGAAATTATTTAAAATGAAAAAAATAAAAATAAAATAAAAAATATTTATATAATTTCTTTCTGTGTACATTCTATTTCAATTTTTGTTTTTTATTAATTTTTAACATTTAACATTTATATATACATATATGTACATATATTTTTTTTATTTATATATTATATATTTATATTTACCCTATAGTAGCCATCCTCCTTTTTCAGATAGGGTGCATAGGGTTCCTGGATCTGTACGGCTGCCTTCAGATTGGGCAATTTGTCGCGTATCGAATGAATTTTGTCCATTTGCTTGGCATCGTCCACGACAACAATTTGGGCACGCGAATTCTCCAGCACATGCTGCACAGCCTCCGCCGAGTTGGTGGTATAGATGCCGGCAATGATGCCGCGGGCGTGAATGGCGCCCATTGCCGAGTAGAACCATTCGGCGCAGTTGAAAGCCAACACGCCCACCGAATGATGCTCCTGCAGGCCTAGCTTAATGAAAGCCTTCGCCGTCTGATGCACCTTCTGTTCGTATTGCCTGTGAAAAATGGGATTGGGAGTTGAGATTTGCTTTTTTTATTTTTTTAAATCAATTTAATTTGCGGCCAACCAATTTGATTACGAAGCACGCTAATCGAAGGAAATTGCTTTGAAGGAGAGATGAGCGGAACACAGACAAATTGAGTGGAACATGAACACGAGTTCAAGCACGAACCCAAGCATTAGCTCACGAACGAGCCTATGATGGTATCCACGATATATATACGAATGACTATCAAAGGAAGTTTTAAAGAGACTATTATATTGAGGAGACTATTATATTATCATGAATATGTATGGAGTTGTTTTAGATTAGTTTCACAAAACTCTTTTTGTGATTGATTAGGATAGCTTTAATAAAACTCAAGCCAATCGCAATATATAGAAATTTATAATAGTAAATATAAGAATATAATTTTAGTTTCTACTGGGAAGTGCTTGAAATTATATATGGATATAAATGCAATTCGTCCTAGGTGTATTTGACGTAAGGCATTTCTATTTATGTTTTTCGAGTTCTTAATACTATTCATATTGGTTTGCGGTCTACAGATCGACAATCAATCCCCTATTCAACGTACGAATGCGCCACCTGTATTGAACATCGCGGGTATATTGATTTATATGCTCTGGTTTCGTTTTCATTTTACATTCAGCTCAATTGTGATTGATCGACTCGCACCGTTTTGTGCCATATTCATTCTCTGGCTGAATATAAAGTCTATAAATACTCGTAGAAAAACTATTTAAAATTAAACACAAAATGTGTTTATAATGATATATATGTATATAATGATATATATATAATATATGTGCATATATTTTGTATAGTGTATATATTGAGCAACAATACTATTTTCATAAACAGAATAGTATATATGTACATACATATATTCATAGAAATATTTCGATTTTGAGCATTGCGTACTATTGCGTCTTACGTTTTGCCTAATTGAGATAAATTCCCGTTGAGTATGAAGCCATAATTTAAAATGATTTGGCGGGCTCTATGGATATTTTTCTTGAGTAGTTTGTGTTGAATAGTTGCAGCTCAAGTTCTCTTGGGCGGAGGACTGATAAAATAAAAATATTCCAGCCTGTTTTATTCATATAAGTATTGAGTCACGTTTTGTCATGCTGAGGCGTATATAAATATATATGTTTCTAGGCTCAGAAAATATATTTAACGATTTCTTTTTGTTTCGTCTTGAGTTATATGGAGTTAGACTGCATTGTATTAGCTTGCTTCGCTTTTGAACTATATGAAAGCGTAGTACGTAGGTCGAATAAAAGGTTGCACACTTAATGTTGTTTTCAGGGACCACAAATAAGAGTTATGAATATAAAAAAAATTGAGGCTCAAAAGAAGCCCCAAGAGGGGACAAGAAATTACACATAAGTTATTTTTTTACGGCAAATTCAATAAAAGGATAAACTTTTATTAGCAATATTTTGTAAAAAAAAATTATTTTTAATTTATATGATAAAAATCAAAAATAATTATTAGAGATCAATTTTTATATAAAAATTTAAAAAAAGAGTTATGGCGTAACTTTTATTATAAAAATTGAAATAAAAATTGAATTCAAACATCTCTTGAACTAAAGGAGCTAATACATTATTAATACCTTTTATTTGATATATAATATGTATGTAAATATGTACATACATGTGTTTGTACATATACATACATATATATTTAATTATATGCATAGGCACTTGCCCTGTTCACTTGCCAGTAACTATTCATTACCCGCTGTATGCGCAAAAGGGTGAAAGAGATAGTTTGAACTAATGACACACGCACAGTGAGTATATATATAATAATTAAAAATATTTATTTTTTTAAATTATTCAAAAAATAATTCTTATTTCTTAATTTTTTACTATAAAAGTCCCTGGTGGTTTTATAAAAATTAGTTTTAGAGAAAATTAACTCAAATTAACTTTACTGAATGAATCGTTCTAGTTCAGGTTGAATTGCACAAGTTTGTGTTAAGTCATGAGCTACAATTTAGATAGCATTGACTCGAAATTATATATAGAGTCGTGAGTTCATGTGTCCCATTCAGCACTTATCGGTATTATCTGCAGCTCATCTCTAGCATATCTCTATTTCAATTAACTCTCGTTTAACTCACTTATAGGTAACTGTGGTGTAGCCATTTTTGTCGTTCTTGAAGCGCAGAGCCGGATAGTCGGGAAAATTATTGACGGTGCGCTTCAGTAGGCCGGGTATAGAGATGGGTTCCTCGGCGCCGAGACCCTCCTTCTGCATGCGTATCTTGACGGCCTCTTCGGGATCGGTGGTGCGATAGACCTCCGATTGCCTCAGGCGATTCGGGCCGGGGCGATTGAAAAGTGCTTCGTTCGGATTCGCGGCCATTTGTCTGTAATCGAATTAAAGAAGCTATTAGTTTAAATAGATACAAATAAAATTTTTTTTGTCTCTCAGGGAAAGGTTGACGATGGTTGTATGATTTCCTGCTTGCGATAAGAAGTCAAGCTCAAGGGTCAAGGCTAACGTATTCGTGGTTCGGCTCTTATCGCTATGCTCGAATTATGATCTAACACCTGATTAGAGGCGGCATGGGGTACTCATATAACTGCTTAATATAAGCACGTATAGATCTAAATTTATGATCAAGAGTTTTATATGAACTTGGCAAAGAGCTTTCGGATTAGACTTGTAAAAATACGCGAAAAAGAATGTAATCATAGTAATATATATTTCATATAAATATAATATATATTTATGGGTAAGAATTTCTGAATTTACAAAGTTCAGTTTTGTATACCACAATGATTGCCTTATCAACACAATTTTGTATATGAATATAAAATGAAAGAAATTGTATGACCTCATATATATATTATTTTCCCGATTTTTTATAAATTCCATATCAGTTCTAACTTCTAGAATAAAATACTAAATATCTTTAAATATCAATAAAATATTTGTATATTATATTATAAATTAGATATATATTATATAATTAGCTATTTACCATAATTGATATATTTTTGATATGTCAAAAAAACCTAATAAGAATATCAGTATATATAATCTTTAATACAGCATATATAAAACATAAAAACTCATATATAGAACATCAGACTGAAAAAATTCCATAATGAAAGCTTCTATATCGGATTCTATCACACTCCATTATAAATCTATTAAGATAAGAATTAATTGGAATTGTATTAGAATGAAAACGTTTTAGAACTGTTTAATCAAAATATAAACCAAGCATTATTTTATTTGTTACCCATAACATTCTTTTGAACTACTTCTTTTTAAAATATTGTATCGCAATCTACCGTCTACATATTATATCATATCATATCGTGTTTCCTGTCATTAGTTAGGTAAGCATTAACTTTTCTGTTTCAGCCTTATCATCTGATATGATAAAGCCGGAACATTTTACTGAAGTCTTGGCTTACTATTAGTTAACATTCGATTTTATAAATAATTTAGTTTATTTTTTTGGGTGCAAAGGGCTACGACTTGGCATGTGTAGCTATCAATATCCATCTATGTATGCACACGTCGTCGAAGAATGTTTATAATTCTTTTGGCGCTTTTTGTTTTTATTAATCAATAAACGGGAAAACAGTTTGATAAGAATAAAAACGGCCAAAAGAAGAAAAGAGAGAAAATAACAACAGGTTTTTTTGTTAGTTAAGAATGGAAAGAATATAAAACAACCAAAACAAATATTCATAATAAATATTACTACCGAGTCCAAAGTTTTCCTCAAAATCATTTTTTTTTTTTTTTTTTTTTTTTTTTTTTTTTTTTTTTTACCTGTTGCCTGGTTACTTAGCAGCTTGATTTGCCGCAATGATTAACGCTGATTGATGGATGGATGGATGAAGGCTTCCCTGTCCCAGACAATAGGCCCCTTCCCCGATTCGAATACTATGCAATTAAAAAAAAAAATGATTGAATGATTGACAGCTGGTTAATGCACACGCAAATTTAGTTTTGATTTTAATGGGATGAAATTATAGAAAAACTGGTATTTTATTACTGATTAATTTAAATATTTTATAGTATATTTTTTATAGTAGCCAAGCACATAGATTTTATTTGAGAGCTCATATTATGATCGATTTTATTCAATAACGTAGAAATAATATTATATTTTAATAACTATTTCACTAATTTCTTCCAGAGAATAATTGCTAGCTACTGTATAAAAATATAAAATATAACTTATTCATAAAATGTTTACCATTACGAAATTAATATATATTTAATAATTATATTGATAATTATATAAATTCAATAATTTAATTCTCTATAATATTTATAGAAATTTTTCTTTGGAAACGTAATTTGATTTGCATATTTAATTATTTTCTGCTCAGTTTGACCTTTAGAAATTTAATGTAAGCTTACATTATTATAGCGTCAAAATATAATGATCCATTTAATCAACAATCAATGATCGAAATAAATCATTATTTGTTGTAAATCCAATCATAATTAGACACATGTAATTGAAATTATTAATCAGAATTGGTAGCAAAGTCTACAGCTTGTATAAGTGATAAGAACAAAGTTAACACTTGTTTTCTATTATATACAATATTTATCAAGCGCACATTTGCGAAGTAATGATTTATTCTGAGAACGTACAGTAAAAGCTCTGTAAAGATGGCAAAGTTGAAATAAAGCATTTCAAAGAATGTAATACATTTTTTAATGTAGTTATTGAATAGGAAAATTATAAAAATGATAAATAATACAAATTATATAATATAAAAAAATAAAAAAAAATAAAATTAAAAAAAATGGTTTAAGATAACATTTACTAAATAGAAACATGTATTGGAGTAATTAATGAACATAAATTTTAAAATAATATCAATATTATTAATAGTTAATTGGAAATAAAACACATTGCTGTATATTATAATAGAAATATATAACTATAAGAATATATATGTATATACATATATATATATATTTAAAAATTTTGCGGATTTATGTTCAGAACTAGAAAATCTTTTGCCAGTTGAGGAAATATTACTTCATAAGCTAATAAAAAGTAATATATATGTATATATGTATGTTTGTATGTCTATAATGTTGCTATATGTTTGTTAATGTGTGTGTGTGTGTGTGTGTGTGTATATATGAGATGTATAGTTGTCTCAATAGAATTTGCGTAGTGTTATGGCAACTATGCGGGAACTAGGCATTGGTGGAAACCGGCTTTGGCCGTTGATAAGAATTAGTTGTCTAGACATTTGGTGGTCGTACGATCCCAGCAAAGCAATAGCTGAAATATATTTCAATGTATGTATGTATGTGTGTGCGTTGTCAGCAGTGTAAAATGTGTAATATATATATATATATATATATATATATATATATTAAATAGCTGACACAGGGAAAAGAGTCGACCTAAGAAGCTTCGTATAAAAACAAAACAGATAATTGAGAGTTCTAAAAATATTCGCTCACAGCTTGTGTGTGTGTGTGTGTGTTTCTGTTGTTATTTTTGAAACAGTTGGTAGTAAGAGAATGCCATGTCAAATAACTGAAGAATTGCGGTTTATTTTGTCTTCTGTTTTATTCGAAAGCGGAATGAGCGTAAAAACAGATGTGCCAAATGGGAGAGATAGTTTTTTGAAAAGCGATCAAAGCAAAAGCTGGCAAAACAGACGACCAGCGAAAGCCACAAACGCAACCAAAGAGTGTGTGAGAGCGAGAGCGAGAGAGGAAGATAAAGAGTGAGAGAGAGCTAGAGGTAGCGTGATGGAGAGACATACGTGATGGCAACCGACAACTGCCAGTGTCAAAGGGTGACAATGAACTCGCGAGGACAGTGCACTGACCCACTGAGACACTAAATACTGGGCGGCCACTAAATGGGAAATGGGCCAAAGAGACAACAGAAGAGAAAATAACAACAACATTGCCGGCAAATGCGCAAAAAAACACGTGTTTACAAAAATGTAGGGGGCGTGGAGGTGGGCGTGATCATTTACATGACTTGTATTTACATACATATATTAAATATTATTTATTCTGCGCAAAAACTTACATAAATTATTTATAAATATATTTATTTTTTTTCTTTAAAATATTTTTTTGTTTTTTAGTTATTCAGCACAACACAAAAAATGTTGCGTTTTATTGTTATTTTTAATTTTTATTTTTTTTTCAATTTTTTCAATATTTTCAATTTTTCTCTTTTTGCTAATATTTTGTTTTATTTTTTATTTTTTTTTTTACTTGAACCGCGAGCCAAGTAAAAACGACCGCACGCAGCAAAGCCAAAGCGTAAACTGAAAGCAGAACAGGATCGGTTGCTATAGAAATCGTTTGGATCGTCGCTGCTGCTGCTGTTGCTGCTACTGCTGTTGCTGCTGGCGTCGCTGGCGTCGCTGTCGCCGCTGTCGATAAGTCTTCAAAGCGGTTTAAGCACTACGACTTACAGCGGCTACCTGATCGAACTGCTCTTATCAGTTGGGGAGGCGCCCACATTGTGCACTCGCTCGCACGCTGATTAGACATGGAAATCGAATTCGAAACGGGACTTGTGTGTAATCGAAATCTGTTTGATCTTTGGCTACGAAATCATGCAAGGCAACCAGCAGTAACAAGAGCAAGTGCAGCAACTACTGCTGCCTATCAGTTGCACCCTAGCTTGAAGAACGTTTCCTTTTTCGTTTTTTTTTAATATAATGGTTCCTATACAGGTTCATTTTTCATTTAATCTCATTTGGCTAGGGGTCATTCTGAAGAGATATTGTGTAGTCAAATTGCATTTCATTTATCTTTAATATACTGTGTAGGGTATGTTAGTCTGCTGTAATTTGTCTTTATCTCATATAAAACCATTCATAGTTTTGTTATCTACATAGTTTCTTATTTATTATCTAGTTGTTTCTCTTTTGTTAGCATTTTAGATTTTTTTTTATGTTCGGTTTTCAAACTTGAATTCTGGCTTTTTATTTGGGTACCTAGATTATATTTTTAAGCCTGAACTCTTCATTCTTATATGAATATTGAAATGTTATACTAAACAAATGCTAAAGGCTTTAAAGATCAACCGAATATATTCTAGATAAGAATACATAAAAAACATGTCCCTTATGTTCTATTTATTTATATTTATTTATTTATTTATTTTTAAGCATTGTTTGTGCAAAATGAAGTTTTAGTAGCAAATTTACAAATCATCTTTGGCAATGATTTCCAAAAAGCAGATCTCAAATAAAACAAATCAAATTAAATTTTGCAATAAATGTAATTAGTATGTTCTTTGACTTGAAGCGCTTTCAAAGTAAATGAGCAGCTGTTTTGTAATTTTTTTTTTTGTTTAAATAAAACGCAATTTTTTATTCTTAGCAAATGTGTAAAAGCTGGAAAGAGAGAAAAGCAAGCTATAGAGCCGTATGATCACAAGTTATAGTGAGCTGTGATCAGCTCAGATTAGGCTCACCTAAGATTAGACATAGCAATAGGTACTAGTATTTCTTTTTGTATTTAGCTTAGTAAATAAAAATATATATGATTTGTTTTATTCCACTCATCATTCTCTTTATTTATTGTTAATCTTGAGTAATGAACTTGATTTGGCAATCGTCAATATTATTTCGTAAAAATCTTGCTCTGACATTTCAACTGGCTTCTTTGTTTATAAATAAATTAAAGCTGATAAAAACTTAAGTAATTCTTCATAAATAATAAATAATAGGCTTCTAAAAATAAATCCGATGATAATGTCATGGCTTATCTGGTTAAAAAGTCAAACACCTGTTGCATTGATCCAGCAATAATTTGAATAATCTTAATGAGTCATTTGGATAAATAGATAAATGTTAAATAAAATTTAAGGAATTTACAATTTTTATCAGTGCACGGCAAAATAGAAAAACAAACATATGAGCTGGTATATACTCTATATATATGTAGCTTTATAGACTGACCAATTCGTTCAAAAAAATTTTGACTGTTGCCAATTGTTTTGCTTGGCTCTTATCAAAAATTAGCCACATTTTATGATTTGATAAACATACTCAGTAGTTGAAGCCCATAAAATGCAGTAATACATATGTAGGTACATATAAATATATATGTATGTTTGTCTATGTGTGTTAAGATTTATGCCCAAGCCTGGCCACACTTCCATCTAATCTTCCAAAGCAACCTGACAAAAGCAAAAGGCCAAAGGTCCAAATTCATGAAAAAAAAAAAACAACAAAAATAAGCCTCAATACTGATTCACTGGGAATCGCATGCAGCGGCCCATGGCGTACTACAACTGATAAGATTATATATATATTATAAAAATCTATATAGCCCATATAAATTATATTCTCAACATCTATATGGGACAACGCGTGAAGTCCGTGATTATCTCTCCCAAAACACTTCTATTTCTATACGCCAAATTATTTTAATAGATACAGATTTCACGTCTATATACGTATGCATGCATATAGTATATAAAATAAAAACATTTCTATATATAATTTATAATTTGATTTCGTTTTGGCAATCTCTGACATAATTGTATCACTTTCTTAGTATTTAAATTCATGCGCTTATCGGTGATAGAACACGAGGGTTCCACGCCAAAAACCAGATTAGATGCTATTTTTGTCTATACTAGAGGGGTTGACTCAGTTCACGCGTTCCATCAGCTCTACCCAACGTTGGTAACAAGATGGTGACTTTCTTTTGCCAAATACCAGGTAATTCCTTTCAAGAGATGACTTTAAATATATATGTATATACTTTGAGCATTAATCAGCTCATGATGACAAGAATATATGAAGTACTTAAACTTAATCAAGTGGATTGGAATTGGAAGACAAGTAGTAATAATAGTTTATATATAATAGGCAGCTATTGAGTATAGATAAAAATCTTGATTTTGTTTTCATTTAATTC